GCAATTAGAATAATTTTGTGAAAAAACTAGAAATTTCATAAAAAATAAATATTAAATTATAACTTATAATCTTTATTTTAATATAAAAATAAAAAATATTTATTAATAAAATTGAAAAATTTTATATAAAACAAAAATTTTAATTTTTTTAATAAAATTATATATGTGATTTCATAATTCTGTTAATCACTTATATTAACTTATTAAAATAAAATTTTAATTAAATTATTAAATTTTAAATTTATAATTTAAAATTCTAATATTAAATATTAATAAAATAATACTTAAAATATATTTTTTTAAAATAAAATAATTTTTATTTTTTTAGAAAAGTATTGATTTATTTATTAATAAATAAAAATATAAAAGAATAATAAAAAATAATATAAATAGTTAATTTAGGTTATTCTTTATTTAATATAAAAATTATAAAAATTAGTTAAATTCTGAATGATTTTTATTGAAAGTAATTATTAATTCTTATTTTGAAATACAAATCTTTTTGCACCAAATTATATAATAAAAATGTATTTATAATTAAATTTTTTTATAATTATTATTTTCAAAAAAGCAAAATTAAATAATTATAAAAAGAATAAAAATAAATATTTTATTTAAAATAAAAATTGAACAAATAAAATATTGATAAATTAATAAATATATATGTAAATAAAACTAATAAATACTAATCAATAATATAAAATATTAATAATACTTTAAATTAATGCTAAAATATTTTAAAAACATGATTATATTTATATATATATATTATTTGTTATAAAAACTTATCATTTTATAAAAGTTATATAGATCAATGGATCAGCTAAATGGATCTTTACAGTTTATTTATATAGCAACTGAAAAATATATTGGCAAAGTTTTGTAAAAAAAACTAATAACTTTTTTGATATGTTATCAATTTACTAATCTTTTTTAAATCCTTCTATTATGCTGTTAACTTTTTATCTAGAATTTTTTTGAAAATTCGAACAGCAGTTTTCAGATTTGTTTTGTCGAATTGATCAAAATTCACGTATTTTTATTTGTTAATCTAGAGGACCTGGTGTGCAATCAACCAATCAGCGATGGAAATTACTTGCACTCGATCAGAACTTGGAGGTGAGATTGATAAATGCCCGTTAAGACACAAGAAAATTAAAAATGCGAATAAGATGAAATATATGGAAAAACAAATGCTTAAATCTGGCTTGAAGCACTAATCAAAAATGTCGAGGAGGCAATTTTACATATAAACTTATACTTGACTCTAACACTAAAATTAACCTTTAATATCCTCAACCAATCAAAACTTGGGTGGAAATTATTAAATTCGTTTAATAGAACATATCTTAAAGAATAAATTTACTGGTTTAACTTTTCTAAATTCCATTTTGTAAAGTGTTGAAAGATTTTAAAAATATTGATTTCCGGCACCATAACAATATATTGATCGTGTAATCTGCATGGAATTGTTAAATTAAGTTTTTTTTTTATCACTGTCCTATTCTAATTCACATATTGATAATGTATCGCCTTCCCAAATTCTTCATAGATCCAGAGATTTTAAACACACACAGCCCATGTAGTATCAGTATATTAGAACATGTCATCATCATTAGCACGGAAATTTATTTAATAACGGATCACCGTTTTATTTACCCCAAACAAAAAAATTCGTGATTAAATCTTTCTGCAATGCATGCATGCTGCAAAATGCATCGACTTGCCCATGGCGCGATCAATTGATCATCTATCGTTTCTACGTGTTTTAATCTTTTGATTTTAAGGTATATAAAGAGATCAATTGTTCAATTGATGAAAAAACCACATTATTAACTTTTTGGTTCTCAATCATGCTTTCTAAAAATCGAATTCTTTTTTCAGTTGTATCACGTTCACCAGCATTTATCAGCAACAAGATCTGTATCAATCTAGCTGCAAAACCATCTTTTTCTTCTCAATATTCTCATCATTATTCCACAAATTCTGCAACCACCACAACGTCATCCCCTCAACCTAATATTCAACATCTCATCACATTAGCAGATTTGTCACAAACCCAAATTTACAATTTACTTGTTTCATCGATTAATCACAAGTACAATGCAAAGCATCTAAATAAATCATCGGGTGCCCCGTTGGCTGGGAAGACTTTAGCACTTATGTTTTCGAAAAGGTCTACACGGACTAGAGTTGCTACTGAGGCTGCAGTCGCTTATTTGGGTATCTCGCTGTGAATTTTGTTATACCGTTTTTTGATTTTCGATTCTAAACGGTGAATACTATTATTTGATAGGTGGTCAACCAATGTTCCTTGGATCTCAGGATATTCAATTGGGTGTCAATGAGTCATTACTTGACACAAGCAAAGTTGTGTCAAGTATGGTTGACGGAATTATGGCACGTGTCGGATCACATGATGAGATTGAGGTCAATAATTTAATTTTTAATTATTGAAACAAGAATTTGATATGGAATAAATTAAACGATTTTATTTTAAATTAAATGAACAGACTCTTGCCAAGTACTCTTCGGTGCCAATTATAAACGCATTATCCGATAAATACCATCCAACACAAATTCTCGCTGATCTGATGACTTTACACGAAGTCTATTTACCGCAATCAACCTCTTATAATGCACATTTAACACACCCACAAGGAACATTACCTGGTCGCACAGTCGCGTGGATTGGTGACGGAAACAATATTTTACATAGTATGTTAGTCACTCTCCCAAAATTAGGTATCAATTTGTCGGTTGCTACCCCCAATGATTATCAACCTATAAAAGAAGTGGTTGACATTGCGATACGTGAGGCGTCAAAGTCTGGTGCAGAATTGTCGTTTACTACTGATCCAATGGAAGCTGTTCATCGTGCTGATGTTATTGTTACTGACACTTGGTTAGTTTTATTAATTTGTTATTGTAGTTTTGTTTATGATTGATTCATCCATAATTGATCATGAAATATATGTAAAATATTGATTATTAGGATTAGCATGGGCCAAGAATCTGAAAAAGCAAAACGTCTTCAAGATTTTGCCGGGTATCAAATCACTTCAGAATTAGCTGAAAAAGGAGGTGCTAATACAGATTGGAAGTTTTTGCATTGTTTACCACGTAAACAGGAGGAAGTCACTGACGAGGTATAATTCGATATGTATGTTAAGCACGACAAGAAATCTTTTTAATGAATGTTTTAATATTCATTAGGTATTCTATTCTCCGAGATCTGTCGTTTTTCAGGAAGCAGAGAACCGTAAATGGACTATTCTGGCTGTTATCGAGGCACTTCTTGTAAAGAAAGGATTTGAATAGTTAAATAGCGGGAAGCTTATAGGTTCTTTTTCACATATAATAATGTAGTATTACCTGTCTTTTTATTAAAACATATACGGTAATGAATTGATATATTCATCAATGGGTATTTTACATTACAACCACGACTTTAGGATATGATGATCGTTAGTATGAAGACCTTTCATTGGTTTGATTTTAACCACATCTTTTTAATTTTTTGACAAGACTAAGAGAATGTACTGAATATCAAGAAGAAGATACTTTCATGCTGATTACCACAATTGCTGAAATTTGATCATCATGTCAAAATATTGTGGCATATAGTTGATTTGTCTTTTCTTCTTTCGAGGGCTGGAGGATGTCAGTGTAGTACTATTCCTATCAAGTTCATTATACTTATCAAGATTTGATCGTTGAACAGAGTTAGTAACGAAGCATCTGCTCTTTCACAATTAATTTGTTTTTTGTCTCTTATAGGACAATGTTCTTTATCGCCTCAAATTTTTTAATTGTCCATCATTAATGAAATTATGAAATCAAAGAATCCCCCTAGTAACTAGAATAACTTTGCATCACACTCAATGAAAGTGTTTCGATCAAAAGACTATAATTGAATGTGTGTGTGTGTGTGTGTGTGTGTGTGTGTGTGTGTGTGTGTGTGTGTGTGTGTGTGTGTGTGTGTGTGTGTGTGTGCATACGCGCAATAACAATTTGAATTTAAATCTCAAAAGTTGTTTACAGCACGTGCTTAAGAACAAAGTCATTTCTAATTGTAAACACGCACAGAAAAGACAAAGTTTGATATTTCAATCCAGTTTCTTCAGAGACAATAGGTGATTATATTTTTTATAATCACACTCTTAATGAAACTGATAATAAATAAATTTGCTTTTTTTATAATTATTATTAAAATCACTGGTTTCAAATATGTAAATTGATTAAAAAGTAATAGTATCAAAGTGATTAAATCAAATATTAATAAAATTATATAAACAATCTTCTAATTTTTTAATAATAAATTTTGATATCAATATAATCATTCCTGTTATAATTATATAAAAATTATACTATAATTATACTATAATTATATTCTTTTCAAGAACCAATTATCTTTTAAACCATTAGGTTAGTAAGGAAATTTGTCTGCTAAAATTTCAAATATCTAATATATTTATTAAAAATTAAAATATTTAAAAAAATTTTTTTAAATTAGCTTTAATTATATAATATATGATAGTTATTTTTTTTAATAATTATAAACTTTTATATTAATCTTAAGTTTTAAAAATATTTTATAATAAAATTACAGAATTGATTACAAAATAAATCAAATATCTTGAGCAATTTATAAATAAAAATTACAAATTTTAAATTATATTAATTAAAAATATGCTATATTTTTATTTTAGCTTAGAAAAAAAGGATTAAGCTTATAAAAATTAGAAATAAATATACAAAAACAAGTTAAAAAAATTTTAGTAACCAAATTTGTTTATTAAATAATTTAAAAAATAATAAATTTTATTACAATTATAATTTAAAAAAAAATATTATTGGTTTTAGTAATATAATAAAACTAAAACTTGAAAAGAATTTGAAAAAAGAATTACTTATTTAATTAAAATTTAAAGAAATTATTATACAAATAATTAATTAATTAATATATTTATTTAATATTTTTTATTTATATATACAATAGCAATCAAAAAGAATGGAATGCTAAATCAAATTTATTAATAAAATATAGTAAAACTATAAAAAATGCAAGTTTTTCTCTTTATATAAAAGTTTTCAATTTTATTAATAAATATTTTTTATTTTTATATTAAAATAAAGATAATATCA